AAAAAACCCCACAATGTTCCAAAACCACAGAACCTTCAGCTGCAAGATAATGCACCTCAGAGATACCACAAAAACATCCACTGAGGAGGGTGGCGGGACTACTTTCCTGCTTACGTGGTGCTGAGGAATCGAACCCAGGGCCTCATGCATGCAAGGCAAGCATTCTACCACTGAGCCACCTTCCCAGCCAGGGACTACTTTCATGAAGGATGGTAACAGCATCCTCCGGATGGGGACAGAAGAAACTCGAGATCGAGGATCACCTGCTGGAGAAAAGTGGTGGGCCACAGGCACCGTGGGTCAGTAATATCAACTCTAGAGTGGAGAAACACCGTTTCTAATAGCTAGCATCTTCAGTGAAGATGTACTCTACTCTCCTGTTACTCAACCTAAGTAAAGGGCTCAGGAAATTCTAGCGAGAAGAGTACATTTCAAGACGGTCTGAGGACATGGTACGGTTTAGAACGAGACATGGTGTCTTCATGTTCCTAGTCTCCATTGTGCACTAAGCAGCAGTTCTGCTCAACCCTTCAGCAAAGAACTGAAGTGGGTGGTGCCCTAGACAGGAGGGCATGAGAAACAAAAGGCTGTCTGTCTGTCTGTCTACCTATCTTCCTCTTTACTCCTCCCTCTCTCCCCCACCCTTCTTGTTTTGGTTCCTGTCCTAGGGCTTGAACTCAGGCACGAGACACCAGCTCTTGCTCATGGCTATCACTCTAGCACTTTGAGCCACAGTGTCACTTCTGGTTTTCTGGTAGTTAAGTGGAGATAAATAAGAGTTACATGGACTTTCCTGTCCAGGCTGGCTTCAAACTGCAATCCTCAGGTCTCAGCGTCCTGAGTAGCTAGTGAGTACCTTCCAGAGTGGCTCAATCTGTGTGTGAGCCACTGACGGTCAGCTCCTACCTGTTTCTTTTAGTAGTACCTGAAAAATGCACAGGCTTACATCTACACGCACACACGCACGCGCATGTGCGTTCGCGCGCGCGTGCACACACACACACACACACACACACACACACAGTCGGCATTATTAACAGAAAATAATGCATTTCTTATACTTCTCTGATTTTGTTGTCAAAATTTTTGTGAGTTAGGACCACTGAATCTAGTCAAGCGAATTAAAGTCAGTCAATCATCTCTAGAAGTTTTTGCTTTGGAATGTCTTTGTGGCTTCAGAGTATAAAAGCTGGGATGGAGAAGACAGCTCTTCTCCACAGCTGGCAACTGGCTCCCAGGCTGTGTCTTCCTCCTGAGGGGCCATACACAGTTCTGTGTACCTGCCAACACCTGCGAACAAGGTGCAGCAGTGCTCTGAGATGCCCAAAGCAGGACCAGGGCATTTCAGATTGTTCTAAAGAAGGAAAATAGTTCATTATCCCAGCTCCTCTTACATATCTGTCTTTTCCTAATAACTATCTGCAGGCAAAACAGACAAAAGTCCTGGTCTTCAGGGAGCCTGCGCCGGAAAAGGAGGCTTCTCACACTCAACACCCTTGCTTTAATACCCCAGCAACCTTCAGACGATATTCTCTACACAAATGATAAGTCCCCAACACTGAAAACCAAAAGACAGTATTTTCTTCAAAACTACAACATAGTTTTTTTTTCACATTTTTTTAATTGTAAAGATACTATACAGAGGGTTACAGTTACATGAGTGAGGTAATGAGTACACTTCCTCTTGAACATTGTTACCCCCTCCATTGTTTTCCCCCTACCATCCCTTCCCTCCCTACCTTCCCCGAGGTTCTTTTTTTTTTTTTTTTTGATTGTGATTAAGTGATTACATAATTTCCGGAATTTCACAGTATTGTGGAATAATGATGCTCATTTAAAGTCACAAGTTCATTCTAACTTTCCTGGAGCAAATTGTCTATCACAGTCTGTAACATATAACGGTGTTCACATGTTATATACCATATATGTGATCAGCAGCATGGGGATATTTAGTAGTGGTTCAACCAGGTGAGTGGGAGTTCTTTGTTTCTTAAGTCCTGTTAGTTTTGTTGTATCACCTAACATTTTGGATTTAGCATCACTTATCAGGGAGACCATGTACGGTTTGTCTCTTTGTTCTTGGCTTACCTCGCTCAACATGATTCCTTCTAGCTCCATCCATTTCCCTGCAAATGCCATTATTTTGTCATTTCTAATGGCTGCATAATATTCCATTGTGTATAGATACCACAATTTTTGGATCCATTCATCTGTGGTGGGGCATCTGGGTTGTTTCCATATCCTAGCTATTGTGAATAGTGCTGCAATAAACATGGAGGTGCACGTGTCCTTGTATATTGGTTCAGGGTAGATGCCTAGAAGTGGTATGACTGGGTCATAAGGGAGGTCAATCTTTAGCTTTCTAAGGACCCTCCAGACTGCTTTCCAAAGTGGTTGTATAAGTGTACATTCCCACCAGCAGTGTAATAGGGTTCCTCTTTCTCCACATCCCCTCCAGCATTTGTCATTGGCTGATTTGTGGATGTGGGACATTCTGACTGGGGTAAGGTGGTATCTCAGGGTTGTCTTTATTTGCACTTCCTTCACCACCAGGGATGATGAGCATTTCCTTTCTCCACCAGGGATGATGAACATTTCCTCATGTGTTTCTTTGCCATTTTTATTTCTTCATTTGAGAAGTTCCTCTTTAGTTCCCTTTCCCATTTAGTAATTGGTTTATTAGGTTGGGAGGGATTAGTTTCTTGAGTTCCCTGTATATACAGGATGTTAACCCCTTGTCTGATATATTGCTGGTAAATATTTTTTCCCAATTAGTTGGTTGTCTTTCTAGCTTAGTTGCGATAGATTTAGCTGTGCAGAAGCTTTTTATTTTAAGGTAGTCCCATTTGTCGAGTCTCTCTCCAACTTTACAACATCGTTTTGAAAAACCAAACAAAGCCAGATGATCCCCAGTGACTGAAAATGTTTACGTTCAGGAACACAGAGACTACCCAACAACAAGGAGGCCTGGGCAGCACACATGGCGCTGGGGCAGCACCAGGCCAAGGGGCACCCAGGAGCCCTGATCAAGCCATGCCCCTCTCTCCTTTAGTCCCACATCACATTACAAAGTTAATGGAATTTCACTTGAGTATCTAGAAGGAAAATCTTTATGTGATATCAGGAAAACAATGAATAGTCGCAGCTAACTATGTGTCCACTTATTTCTCTGTAGCTACAACCATGTGTGTCTTTGAGGAGCACATACATCATTTGCAGAAATATAACCTGTTCCAAAAGAAGACACAAAAGAAAGTATCTATTCTTCTCAATGGAAAGGGAAGCACGGGTCAGGCCACAGAACTGCTGGGGACCCCGGGCACTCTGGACTTTGTGGGCTCTTTCCTTCTAAAGAAATCATTAAAAATATACCACTGGTGGCTCACGCCTGTCATCCTAGCTACTCAGGAGGCTGAGCTCTGAGGATTGTGGTTCAAAGCCAGCCCAGGCAGGAAAGTCTGTGAGACTCTTATCTCCAATAAACCACCAAAAAAACTGGAAGTGGCGCAGTGGCTCAAGGGGTAGAGCATTCACCTTAGGCTGAAGAGCTGAGGGACAGCGCCCAGGCCCAGAGTTCAAGCCCCATGACCGACAAAAATAAATAAATTAAAATATATAGCAACTGCACAGATATCAAGACAAATGTAATCCAGGCTGTATTCACTATTATAAACGGTAGGCCTCTGCAATCCACAGGAGACCGCCATTGGGGAAAAACTGCGCACGCGTGCTTACGGCAATGTTCAGGGCTGTTGTGCGCATGTCCAATGTGTTTTCCCAGTAATTGGGCCCAACTTCCATTAATGACATCTGCTTTTCAACAAATCCAAGATTTTCACTTGATCACCTCACTTAAATACATTCACTTGGATCTTGCTTTTTAAGAAACCACTTGCTTTGGGGGAAGGCACAGGTTCACAAAATCAAGATCAAGGAACAACTCAGCAGATCACGCAGTGACTTAAACACAAGTATAGATAATATTGGGCTGTGAAGTGAAAAATGTTAGGCACTTAATTTCTTGTTTGTTTTTGGAATTTTTGTTTGCAATAAACCCACAAATAGGCAAGTTCACTGTATTAATTACCATACTTATTTTTTCTCTTGCTTTTAAAAGAAATTAAGGTTAAAACTTTGTTTTGTTTCTGAGGGCCTGAAGCACTGTGCCTAATAAACAAGCCAGCTATGGCCTAGAAGGTCTTTTGATTGTTCAGCTACTCAGCATTCTACACATAGATTAAGCAAAAGAACTTCTCAGACTTGCCTACCAGTAATGTAGACCTGCAGGATAAAAAACCAATGCCCTCCAGTTAACAAAACAGTAGCGAACTCTGCCACAAACTAAGCAATCTTCACTCCATTAAAATACGATTTGTCTCTGAAAATAATACTGAGCCCTGGAGGAATAATTCAGCATATCAAATATTTATGACTCCAAAGAAACATTCTGACCTTGTTGGTTAAGACAACAGACTCTAACCTACTGTTTCACCTGGAGTTTTCATTTTGTTTTTATTTTATTGCCTATTTTTTGACTTGGTATAAAAAAAAAAGCTTTTTTTGCCATAAAAAATGAATACTATGCTTACCAGACTGAGTTTCCTTACCTAGTTCATGTATTTCTACCACTTAACTCAGCACTTGATGTGCAACTAAATAATGTTGCATTGACATTTGGGGTCTTGTCAAATAGCCTCTAATGTGTTCAGAGATGACTCATTAAAGTGCCAATAGGAATTAAAGTACCTAACAGAAAGGCATATTCCTTCCTTCCTTTGCCTCTCTCTTATCATTCATTGTGGTTTTTAAGTACCACCACCACAAAATGGGAGCTTTAAATCTTGATGGAGAAAAAAAAAGAAGTTAGAAAAAATGTCTTGCTGAGTGTATACAGACAAAAATACATAAAAGCTTAAGTTGTAAACATACTGATCTTTCAACATGTTTCATACCCAAGTAACAACAACGATAAAAATGCCACTTTCAGAGTGGAATCTCACCTTTACCACGTCTTCAACCATACGCCTCACATCAGTCTTCACCTGTAGTAGAAACACACAAAAAATTGCTTTTTACTTAAGTATCACCTTTCCAGAATTATGTAATGGAGAATGGATGAGATATTAAGATAAACTTCAAGTGGCTAAAAGTAGACTGGCAGCTGAAAGGCTAGGATTTTCCTACGAAAAGACACCTAATTTTGTAACAGACAATAATCATGAAAAAACATAACTAAAAAATAAAAGGCCTGATAGGTTTTGGTGTTAGACAGCTTGGTACCCCAATCTTCTTTGATCTCCCCCACTCCCTTCCTCCAAAGAACTAAAGTTTAAAGAACTCTGAAAACAAAGGGGCCCAACAACTTGCTATGGTTTAGAGGGCTGGGAAGTAGGGTATGGAGATGAGTAATGATTTCATTCAGTCTCATCCCTAGCTCTGAAGCACCAATCAGCCACAGGATGGGAAGAACCGGCTAGGCTATGGCCACTCCTCATCCCTGTGTTCTCCTCTGGTATTCCCCCTGTAACTCCTCAGCTTCCATCTTTTGAAGTCAGTAGAGGTGAGTTCCTATCATGGGGCAGAGGGAAGAGCTTATACCTGGTAAGGTCAGTGGCTTTTCTGCTCACTTCTTTCAGAAACCAGAACCATAGACGTCTCAAAGTTTATGAGTTCTTTTCTTTTCTTTTCTCTTAAAACAAGCTTAGTGTTTATGGGATTTTTTTAAAGTTTTTTTTTTTTATTGTAAAGATACTGTTCAGAGGGGTTAGTTACATGAGTAAGGTAATGTGTACATTTCCTATTGAGCATTGTTACCCCCTCTTTTGTTTTACCCTACCATCCCTTCCCTCCCCACCTTCCTAACTCCTCCCTCGCCCTCCCCCCAAGTTGTAAAGTTCGTTTTCAACATAGTATCTTGTACATCTCATTGTTACAATGGGTCAACCTGTATTCTTGTATCAGCATTTTGTTATTTCCCTTCCCCTTCCCAAATTAGAAAAATGTATATACAAGATACAACAGGGCATGGGAATCAAATACAACAAAAACAATCTTTTATAATCTGTGGATCTATGAAATTACTCAAAAAGACAAACAAAACCAAAACCAAAAAAAAAAACCTCCAGTTGATGCTAATCAAAAAAAAACCCTTAAAAGTGAAAAGGCCATTAGAGAGCAGCATTGAAAGGAGGGAAAGAAACAACAGAGTATGCTAATTACTGTTAGGAGAATAGTCCAAGGAGAGTACAAACTTCAAGTCTTTTGATAAAACAATTTAATGTAAGTTGGCTAGGTATTTTTGGCTCATACCTGTAATTGTAGTTACTTGGGATGCCAAGATCCTGAGCCTTCTAGTTTCAGGTTTGCCTGGGGAAAAATATTCTCAACACTCCATCTCCAAAATAACTAACAAAAGGCTGGGCTAGAAATATGATTCAAGTAACATATCACCCATAAAGCCCTGAGTTTAAAGTCCAGAACCTCAGACACCAAAAAACTCTGCTTCATTGCAAATCATAAACACATTTCTGGAAATGCGTTTCTTAAAATCTAACGTGAAACTAGAATTATTCAAGGAATATTTGGGAGAAATGGAAAAGATCAAAATCTTAAGAGTTTTCAATAAAAATATCCTTGCGAATACATTTTGAACATATCAATGCCAACAGTTGTCTCAGATGATATTTAAATGATCAAAACTAAAACTACAATACCGAATACAGAAGCTGAAATGAATATGTATAGTTTAATAATTAATTCATAAACTCTATAAAAAGCTTTCAGAATACAGAGGCTTCCAGGTTTGTTTGTTGAAGCTAACAGAAAGCTGAGAACAAATCTGATAAAACTCCAAGAGAGAAAAGTAAGAGGCTTGTTTGATTTAGATAAGATATAAGAATTCTAAAGTGTTCAGAAAACCATATATGCAGTAAATGACCATTTTACTATAAGTAGCATTTATTCTATACACATACATAAATAGACCTCTCATGCCCTAGCAATAGGTTATAAGTGTTTTATGTGAAAAAAAACTCAACACCTATGCCTGACCTCTTAGTAACCTAGGAACAGAATAATGTCATCATGATGTTAAAAAAAAGAGAGAGAGAGAGAAATGCTCTAAAATCAACCAACATCATTGTTAATAGAAAGTCAGGAATGACATGGAAGGGACAAACACAGTAAGACATATTGTTCCGCGTCCTCAGTTACAGTTAAAGCCCAAAAGGCTGGTCTCAGAGAAGTGAGTTAGCAGCAGTCACCAGAGAGGCAGGAGGCGGTGAAGGGAGGATGGCAAAAAGGTCTGGAGTATTGGTGGAGCAGAGGAACGACTTCCAATGTTCTGTAGCACACCGGGCTAACATCTATTAATTGTATATTTTAAAAGAGCCAATAGTAAAGGGTGTTGAATGATCCCAGCACAAAGAAATGATAAATATCCGAAGTAGTGACTATTCCACTTACCTTAGTTTGATCATTTCCTACGGTGTACATGCACTGAATTATCACAGGGCACTCCATAAACACGTGCAATGATTATGTGCTATTCAAATTCAAAAAATAGTATTTGAAATATCAAAAAAGACATGGAACCTTAAAAAAACTCAAATGCTCACTATGAAATAGTGAAAGGAAATGACCAGCCCATCAGCATTACAAACAAGTGACAAGAGTGGGTACTTAGAAAACCAAGAGAAGTGTGTGTGTGTGTGTGTGTGTGTGCACGCGTGCGTGTGTGCGCACACGCACACCAGTCTTAGGGCTTGAACTCAGGGCCTGCGCACTGTTCCTGAGTATTCATACTCAAGGTTTGTGCTCTACCACTTGAGCCACAGCTCCACATCTAGCCTTTTTTGGTGGTTAATCGGAGATGAATCTCATGGACTTTTCTGCGCAGGCTGGCTTCAAACAACAATCTTCAGATTTCAGTCCCTGAGTACCTAGGATTACAGGTGTGAGCAACTGGTGCCAGCTCCAACAGAAAGCTCTAAAAAACCTCTTAGAACTTATTTGACTAATTACAAATAAATGAAAATAAAGACAATCTTAAAATAGATGATATTCAGAAAACTTATACTTACAGTTCTACATAGATGGCATTTAAGGAAATTTTTTTTTTTTTTTTTGGTCAATCGTGGTGCCTGAACTCTGGGCCTGGGTGCTGTCCCTCAGCTCTTTAGCTCAAGGCTAACGCTCTACCACTTGAGCTGTAACACCACTTCTGGCTTTTTCCTGTGTATGTGGTGCTGAGGAATCGAACCCAGGGCCTCATGCATGCAAGGCATGCACTCTTCCACTGAGCCACCTTCCCAGCCCCAGCATTTAAGGAAATTTTAAGCTAAGTAAAGACCATGATTTCATCATAAGAAATATTAAAAAGTACAAGTGTACATTTTTGGAAAAAAAAAAGAAAAGAAGTGCTATATTGCAGGAAATTTAATATGAGGTAAAGCAATGAACTGGCTTCTTTGTCACTATAGGAATGTGGGAATAACAACAGGGCTTTTATAAGCCATGCATTTATATCCTTACTACCTCAGAGGCTGGTCTGAAAAATCCAATACAAAATTTTTAGTGCATTAAGACTATTTGATTATCTAAGCTTAAGTGCAAAATCCACTAATGTAGCATACTCCAGACATTAAATACAAATAGAATTTGATGTAAAAACAAAACAAAAAATAGCCATCGATATTATATTTATGCCAAGAAAATACTAATTGCACATTACTGAATCTCACTGAAACTGGACAGTTTATTTCTTTTGGTCTAAGAATAATGCTAAGCTTAGAGTTGGGAATGTAAGCAAATCATGTTTAAAATAAGTTATATAGGCTCACTGCACACTGCAACTAAGGCAAGTTTGAGTATAAAAATAAATAAAATGTCAGGGTTGGGTTTGTAATAAGGAGATTTAAGTCCAACACAGTACCATGTCTGAAATAAGCTCACTTTTAATTTTAATAACATTCAAGAGTGAGGAGAAAGACTAAAAGCCAGTCCTTCCAGAATGAAATTAACAAAATTACTCAGGAAATTAATAAAATTGTCCAAGAAAGGAACAACTTTTCTCTTTATATGTAGGGCAAAGCAAAAGGCCTGTTGATATGTTCTGTGACTCAGTAAAAACAGCTTCCAATGGTCTAACTCAGGCATGGTTTAAAACAGGAACAACTTAAAAGTTATTTCTAATGACAGCGATTCTACTTATGATGGTAACTTTGTAAACACTTGAAGCACAAACCTTTCTTATAAAATGCCAATTAGTCAACACACAGGAGCCCCAAAGATTCATTCATAAGCACAAATTATCCTTATTTCAAAACATACAAGCTTTAGAAAAGAGAGTGAAAATTCACACATGGTCTATCCAGAAGAACAGGACTTTAAATCAGCATGTATTGGTAAAAAGGAAAATTTACCAATGTTCCTTCCATAAATTGCTATACCAGGGTTTGAACTCAGGGCTTTCTGCTTGCTTGGCTGGCAAGCTCTTTTGTGTGAGCCATGCATGCCTTTCGCCCAGCTTTTGTTGACTAATTGGAGATGGAGTCTCACAGACTTTTCTGCCTGGGTTAGCTTTGAACCATATTTCTTTGGATCTCAGCCTCCTGTGTAGCTAGGATAACAGGTGTGAGCATTGGTGCCTAGCTTGAAAATATTTCTCAACTCGGTGATGGCCAAGTAGACAAAATTAAAGTGAATATTTTTGAGGGGATACAAAACTTGATTACATAAATCTCCAAAGAACCTGTGTGTGGATGAAATTCTTGCTTCTGTCAACCTTTCATCTTGAGATGCTATTCCACGTTTGCCCATTCTTATTTGGGAATGCTACTAGGTAACCCTGTAATTGTGCCTACTGCAACAGGAAAAGTCACTTTCTTGCTTCTCTCTGTGCTTCTCTGAGCCACAGCTGTAAATCACAAGCGAGTAGTCCTGGTTAGTCCAACACAAATTGGCTTCTTAGCATCCAAGGGGCAGAATAATATTCTCTGCTGTTCTAGAAGTCCAACATTCATTTACCCTCCTCTGGTACCCA